CTGCACCAACCCGGGCAAGGACAGTGGCGCCTTCTTGGGCGTGCTGGACATCTTCGGCTTCGAGAACTTCGGCAAGAACTCGTTCGAGCAGCTCTGTATTAACTACACCAACGAGAAGCTGCACACGTTCTTCAACCACTACGTGTTCGCGCTGGAGCAGGAGGCGGGGGTGACGTTGCTTTGTTTCGTCAGAACGTAGGCATTGCTGCTTGGGTGGATGTCTTACTCCCGGCATCGTGGCGTTTCATGCTTTGGAAGCCACAGGGGGAATGTTTGTAATTTGGTGGTTTGTTTACATGGGGTGTTTGCGTTGGAGGAAACGGCCGACCAATTTGGCGATGATATGATACGGCATGTTGGAATGGTTTCGCAGCAGACCATACAAATATCCTTGTTCAGCAGCAACATTAGACGTTCATCTGTAAAAATATAAAACTGTTTTGGATTTTGCATGTGTGAACGGAACGTATTTTGAAGGTGCGGGCGTAATTTCCGTCTCCGAAATAATGAATGGAAACGAAGGGATATTGGATGTCCTCTTTGTCTCATGAGGGCTGACAAACCCTATCAATCATTTCGTCGTCTGCTCCCTTATCACATTTTAATTGTCGGCTGCCGTAAAGCCAACCCCGCGCATTTTGTCATGCGTGTGGGTTGGTGTGTTTGCCAGGGGTTTGTTTGTATTTCTGCTCAGTCTGATTGGTGAGACATGGTTTTTTTGCGCTTTGTAGCGCCAGACGACGGACCCCCAAACTCAGCCAGCTGACCATGCGGGGCGGATTATCAACCGTTGACGAGGCTAAAACATTGTTTTGAAGCGTGAATGGAACTAGTTTTGACTGCGATGAATTGTGCGCCGTACCTTGTACTAAAATAAGAATGTTTTTTTCATAAAGAGACTCGATGCATCTGGATATGAATATCGTGTGTCACAAATATCCTGTGAAGTAGCGAATGCGTGAGATAAATGTTTTAATAACTGCAAAAATGTCCACAAACTAACTGGATTGCAAATTAAACGCGAAAAGCCCGGGAGATCTTTGTGCATGTCTTGTCCGCCACCATTGACAATTTGGGTATGGATTTTGTCGTGTGATTTGTCACGGGTAGTGATGCATTTCATGACGTCATTTGATGGTCATTTAGTGATTCTCTTGCCACCGCATTTTATGTTCTATTCACCTGCGTCAGCTACTTTAGATTATCATGCTGGTGTATTGGTCCCCAGGACTTAATGTGACATAACCCCTATTAAAACCCCCTGGATTTTAATTGTTAAGTTCACGCATGCGTGGGTTCGAATAGGGCCAGATCGCTTGGGCTTTGGGGTCTGAAAGTGCTGGGGCGGCCGCCATGGCGGTCGGCTTTGTCAGAATTGCTCTCTTCCCGCTGATCCATGTCTTCACTTTCAGTATCGACAAGAGGAGATAAAGTTTTCTCACATCAAGTTCTCCGACAACTCCGAATGCCTGGAGTTGATAGAGAAGCCCCCTCGCTGCATTCTCAAGCTTCTCTCGGAAGAATGCCGAATGCCAAAGGTTGGTTGATTGGAAACGTGCTGTGCATTTGTGATTGCTGTGCCTCTCATTGCCTCTCGATGCAGTCGTGAGTGTTTTGACGTTGGCCTGTGGACTGCTGCAACAACTTTCGAAGAAGCACCGATGTTGGGTGCGCCATTACCTTACATTCATTCTCTCTAGGAGTTTTGAAACGTTTGCACAAGAGGCTTATTGCACGATGTTTGTTTTCTGGGAAATTGGATATTAATATTTATGAGTCGCTGCCATAAACTATTGTGTGCTCATAGGTGCTTTTCTAATTCAGGTAAGCTATTCGCGAGCAAAAAAGAACTGGCTGATACCGCTTGAAAGGCGAATTCTCATGCATTATTTTACGGCACAGTTGAAAGCTGTTGATGAGGAGCATTACTAGATGCGAGAGAGACCACCGCCTCGCTAAAGTATCGCAATTTGTTCGCGGCGGGGGCCTTTGGGAGCATGAACAAGTCAGATTGTTGATGCATTTCTCGCAATATTTGTTTCTGAACACGGCTACTACTAACGTTTTCACAATCCACAAACATTTCTGATTTGTCAATGCCTGCCTGTGACATCCACGTCGTCACTCGTCGGCACTCGGTGGCAGCTGGCACGCTCGTGTGCTGGGCTTCACCCTGCACCCTCCCGCGTATGTGACGCTGTAGCCCAACTGCACTCTGCTGCTGTCCTGACTTCTGCTGTCCGCGTGCTGTCTGCCCGCCCCGCCTGCTCCACGCATGTGTCCCATCTCTTTCCCCACATCGGCTCCACTCGTGTTCCCCGGCTGTCTCACGACACGACTGTGTCCCATCCGTGTCCAGCCTCTGCCTGCACATCTGTCGTGCGCCTCCGAATCTCGCTCCTGTCACACGCCTGCTCCTCCTCCCGTCGCACCAGGGCCTCTTCTGTGTCGTATTTACCCCCAGCCCAGCCGCTGCCTCCGCCTTGTGCCGTCTGCTCCCAGCCCAGCCGCTGCCTCCGCCTTGTGCCGTCTTCGCTCCCAAACCAGCCGCTGCCTCCGCCTTGTGCCGTCTGCGCTCCCAGCCCCAATGCCGATCTCCTCTGAGCCGCCTTTACCGCCAGCCTCGTCTCAGCGGTGGCCTGGCTGCTGAGCCGAGCTCGGCTCGAGCCGGCCGTTCGCGGGCGAGCTCTGTCTGAACTGAGCCGGCCGGCGTGGGCGGATCGACCGGCCAGCCGATGTGCAGCCCCTCCCCTCCCCCCCCCCCCCCCCCCCCCCCACCCCACCATCCCACCAGCACCTCATACCCACACCGCGGAGCTCTGCCGCCGGACGGACGGCGGTGGGGAGGGAGGCCAGTGGTTTTTGATCGGGCAGGATTTAAAGCCAGCTGACGCTCGGGCGCTGAACGGTGTCTGGAAGATCAGGCCAAGGTCAAAGCAGGGAGATGTCTGTGAGGCGATTCTCGACCAGTTTTTTGCTGTGCCCGCCGGGTAAATAAAGCGCGTACATAGTGCAAATGGAGCGGTCATCAGCGGGTGAGACTGGTCATGTTGCGGTGCGATTGGTTAAGTATGTAAGGCGGTGGCTTTTCTCATTAAATGTAAAGCCTTATTGGAAATGAGACTGCTTTGCCACCGCTGCCACTTGCCTCATAACAATCGTGCCTGGTCGAAAAGTGGTAAGACCACCTGCATTGCGCCGCCGCCGTATCAGATGTTGCTTTTCTCCAACTTACTTTACACTGGCCTTACTTGCTCTGGCACACATCACTGTTACCTTCCGCTTGCCCACATTCGCTTAGCATTACTGACCTACCCCAACTATTTTGCATGTTTATTTCATCGTATTGTACATGCCGCTTCCTTTTGTGGATAGTTCGGCAGTTTTATTAGCAGCATTTATGTAGAGGAAATGCCGCGGGGTTTGTGACTCAGTCTCCAGCCGGGTGCTATTGTAGGTTCTTTGTGCGGCGGCGAGTACGGCCGGGCTCTCGTGGTCACTAATTCGTGGGAGATGGATGAATTAAGACGGTCTGGGTTGTTAGAGGCGGCTTCTCATCGGTCGCCCGCCTGACTGGCAACTTCTAGCAACTTCCCGCGCTTCCTGACGCGGTTAAGACGCAGGGGGTGTACCCAGGCTCGGGGGCGACGGGTGCAGCAGATCGGCCAGGGGCGCGAGGGTGTCAGGGGGCTTGCAGACAACGGTGTCAAGAGGTACCTCGGATGCAAGTCAGGCGGGCGACCGGTTGAAAGGCCCGCCTCCAGTGCTGACGCATGGCCCACTGTGGTGACGCCTGCCCAGACCGTGCTGACGCCCGATCCAACCGTGCTGACGCCCTGACCCGACCGTGCTGAGGCCTGGCCGACCGTACTGACGCCCTGGCCCGACCGTACTGACGCATGACCCGACCGTGCTGACGCCTGACCCTATCGTACTGACGCCCGGCCCGACCGTGATGACGCCTGACCCGACCGTGCTGACGCCTTGACGTGACCGTTGCTGACGCCTGACCTGACCGTGCTGGTGCATGACATGACCGTACTGACGCCTGACCTGACCGTGCTGACGCCTGACCTGACCGTGCTGACGCCTGACCATGACCGTGCTGACGCCTGACCCGACCGTCCTGGACGCTGGCCCGACCGTGCTGAAGCATGACCCGACCGTACTGGCGCCTGAACTGGCTGTGGTGATGCTCTGAACCTGATCGTGCTGGCCCCTGACTCTACCGCGCTGACACCACCGCTGCGCGGCAGGGCTCGGACGAGACGTACCTCTCCAAGCTGCACCAGGAGTTCGAGGTGCATCCGTACTACATCAAGGCGCGAGGGACAGGAGAAAATTGGGAATCGGAGTTCGGCGTGTGTCACTATGCTGGCCCGCGTCACCTACAACATCACCGGCTTCGTCGACAAGAACCGCGACTCGCAGCAGGACCTCTTCTTCGACTTCATGAGCCGCTCCAAGAACAAGTTTGTGGAAGAGTTGGCGCAGTTCCAGGTGCGGAGAGGGCGGACAGGCACGCGCTGTCGGATGCCAGCATCTCTCTTCGCTGTTGCCATGGCGACAGCGCGTCCAAGTAGTACGCCAACTTTTGCCGATGCGCTTGCCTAAAGCATCTTAAACCGGCACAGTCTTAACTCCAGCTGCCCGTGAGCGCGTCATATGCCGTGTTCGCGGGCGCGTGTAGCGCCGTCAGTTTGCGCACCCGGCGCTGTCCTCGGTGGCTCCTGCCGCCTCCCTCACCGCGGCCCGAGCGGCGGAGTGCCTCGTCAGCGCCGGCCCGCCGGCACCTAACGGCGGTCCCGCACCTCCGCCAGGACCTGCTGAGCTGCATGTCGCGCACGGGCACCATGAGCAGCACCGTGTCGCGCGGCACCTCCAAGGGCAAGCCGACTGTCAGCGACGCTTTCAGGCAGCAGCTGCAGGCGTTGGTCGACCTCCTGCCGAGCAGCAACCCCTGGTGCGCGGCCAGGGTCGGGACTGAGACCCCGGGATGCTGATCAGGGGCGCGGCTGCCCGGACAGGACAGACACTGGCCGTAGGCGTTCTGTCCGTGTATACTGACTGGATAACCGCTGCTTCGTAGTTTCCTCTGCCCTTGTTGCATCGCAGCGAGTATTCGTCGATGTCGACGTCGTGTTGACATCAAAACTTTAATGTTTAAGGCTAGAATATTAAATTTAAGTCTTCAAAGCTTGATAGAGGTATTTCACTGACAATGCTTGCGCTTCTCGTTTCATCTTCTTGTGCTATTGAACCTCATGTGTGAACTTCTGCCGTTGTTTTGTAATCAACACATGAGGTAACCGCGCAAATGGCTTTGTGTTAACACAAGGATCATTGATGTCCCTAAATCCGAGCCCTGCCTGGAAAGCTGTGTATCCACGTCAGAGACAGGCGCCGCTAGACTGTTTTTGGGTCAGAGCCATTACCCAGCCGGCACGTTGGCTTCAGGTACGTGAGGTGTATCAAGCCGAACGGCAAGAAGCAGTCTCACTGCTACGACGACCCTCTGGTGCTGGACCAGCTCAAGTACCTGGGCATGCTCGATATCATCAAGATTCGCAAGCAGGGCTTCCCCATCCACCTGCCGCTGCTGGAGTTCTGCCAGCGGTACCAGTGTCTGACGGGGCGTCGGTGGAAGCAGCAGACGGCGGCGGAGGGCTGCAGGTCAGTAACGGGCGGTGTCAGCTGGACCAGTATCTGATGGGGCGTCGGTGGAGGCAGCAGACGGCGGCGGAGGGTCACAGGTCAGTAACGGATGGCGCCAGCTGGACCAGTGTCTGACGGGGCGTCGGTGGAAGCAGCAGACGGCGGCGGAGGGCTGCAGGTCAGTCTGGAGTTGCGCCAGGGATGCCAGTGTTTGACATGACCCCGATTGGGGCAGCAGGTAGCGGCAGTGGACCGCAGGTTTGTACTGAGTAACGCCGCACTACAAATCGTGACGGGGAGGGCCGCAGTTTATCAAGGGTACCAGTGGCGCCACACTGCAGCTTCGACTCGTTTTACAGATAGCTATCCACGAGTTTTACCCAATGTACTTAAAAACCTGGTGACAGAGCTGTTCAAAGAAACTTTCAGGAGACACCAGCTTGCGCAAACAGAAAGTTTCCATCGCAAAACATCACTAGCGCATCCGGTACGCTGTAGGCGGTCTACAGCCTGCCCGTGTTCAGCGGTGACCAGCACAATGCTCGGCTGTAGCGCCGCGGTCCCACAAACTAGCGAGGTTCGCGGAAGCCAGAGCCGGTGTCCCGTGTCGATGCTCACGCACCGCGACCCCGCCCCGCCTGCTGACCACTGCGCTCGGCGGGCGGCAGGTTCATCATGAAGCAGCACGGCCCTGCCGGAGCGGGAGTGGCAGATGGGCAAGACCAAGATGTTCCTGCGCCACTGTGTGCACGAGCCGCTGGAGGACAAGCGCACGGCGCTGGTGCACCGGTCGGCTGTGTGCGCGCAGAAGATCTACCGCGGCTACGTCCGGCGGAAAGGTGCGTCTGATGCCCTGCGGAGCAAGGAGCTGGTGCGGTGTTTCCCAGCCGGGTGGCGCGTAGAGGGTTGCATGGTGTTTTGGTTGGGTTGGCATGACTGTAGTTCATCAATCGCAGGCATTGGTTGTATGCTGGGTTCGCTCATTTTTGTGATGTCGGGAGGCAGAAATGCGAACTGTTAAGCTGGAATGCCGACAGTCTAGCCTCAGATTTTGCAATTGGTCAGAATTTTGCGACTTTTGGGGGTATTTGTCAGGATCAAGCCGACACGAAAGCCTCCGCGTGAGCCTCTGTGAGAGACACGTGATGTAGTCCTGTGCTACCTACCATATAACCTATGGATTGATGTCAGTAGTCATTATTCAAAATATAGCGTCATGCGTAATAATAACATGAGTCTCAGAAAAGCACGTCCTCAAACGTATTTCTACATGGTACCACAAACGGCAGTGGCGTGTGCTGACGTGCTGGTCTGCGCTCATGCGCTGATGGCGTGCGTGCTCTACCGACGAGACGTCCTCGGCGCCGCCCCCACCGGCCGGTGGTGCTGCTGTACGGACTGTCCAGGGAGCCCTCCCCCCCCCCCCTCCCCCCACTGACGGCGCCCGGCCGCCGCAGCGTACCGGGAGAAGCTGGAGGCGGTGCGCTGCCTACAGCGCCACTACCGCGCCAAGCGGCAGCGGCTGCTTGTTCCTGCGGCAGCGACGCGCCGTGGTGGTGCTGCAGAGCCACCTGCGCGGCATGTTCGCCAGAGAGGTGAGCGGGCCATCCGGGCGGCCGCTGACAGCTCAGCGGCGTGCGGGGACGGGACACGGCAGCGGCGGCTGGCTGCCAGCGGGGAAACTAGCCGCGGCAGTCGGGCCTGGTCTGTCGGGCAGACTTCGGCGCGCGGAGGCTGTCGCCAGCACATGCACCCAGTAAAAGCTTCAGCCGAATGGCCAACGTGGCGACAGTGCGGTTCATGTCGCCCTCAGCCCGGTCAAATGTGTTTGTGGTAAATAAGTGGAAGCACTGCACTGCAAGCACTGATGCCTCCAAAATGGTGGTAGTCCTAGTGCTAGCGCTTCTGGAATTGTGCGGATAAGGTATTCACGCTACGTAGACGCAAATTGTATCACTTCAGTTTTGATGCTCCTTGTCCGCGGACCTTCTGCCACAAGCTGGCAGCTCGGCGCCACAGCCTGCTCCCGTTGCCATGGCGACCCGGGCTGGGTTGCAGGTGGCCGCCGCGCTGCGTGAGATGAGAGCCATAGAGGAGGAGCGCCAGCGGCGGGAAAAGCTGGAGGAGGAGAAACGAAAAGAGGAGGAGCGACGCCTGGAGATGGAAGAGGAGGCGCGCAAACGGCTGGAAGACGAGGAAAAGTATGACAGGCTTCGCGGAACTTGACTGCTGCTTTGCTTGCAAACGTTGCCATACGGCCGGCCGAAAATATTTCAGGAGCGCGATTGGGGGCCGTTTGCCCGGTTTGAGTCCGCCCAGTGTTTTACTGGTGCGCTACGTTCGTGACGCGGAGCGTCGGGAAACCCCACCGCCGCCCGGCTTACACCGCTTGCTTGCGCCTCGCGCTGGCTTAAAAGGCTGTATCGCTGACACGGCCGAGGCCTACTGGCGGGCTTCTCTCATTGAGAGCGCACGGTAACCGTGTGTCCTCGATCTGCTTCTAGGCCGCCGCCGCCCGAGGCCCAGCAGAATGGAAAGTAAGTGCACCTGGAGCAGGAGAATCGCAGCAGAGGCTTCCAGCTTCTGGCCATACGGACCGAGTGTTACTGCAATGGTGACGGGGACGGCGATGTCCATGTTGAAATGACGATCTAGCCTGCCACTGTGTTTGATGGCCTCTGCATGACAAAACGTGATAATTTTATTTTTATATAGTATCTGTCTCAGATACGATATAATATCCAACAATATATATATATATATATATATATATATATATATATATATAACTACAAGATACTCTGAGTGTTGCGCAACCTGTAGATAGTCATGGTAAAAATGTATGACTTCTTTGTATGCTGTATAGGGTTCCGTTGACGACTTGGCAGTCTTTGTGCAAATGATGTCGCATCGTAGTTTTGTCATGATTCATATTCCATGATGCAAAAGATACCGAATAACTATGATTTCTGGACAAAGCCCAAGCCTATCCTAATAAGGTGGCTTATCGCGCTTACTGCAGCGAAGTGCAGCGAAGCGACGCGTTTGCTGGTTTCCTGATGATTCATTATCCTTGGTGTTAATACGAAAAATGACCGTGTTCCTCCAACGAAGCTCCCAACCTTACCACAACAAGCTGGCGGCACCATTTAGCGCAATGGACTAAACACGACCAAGGCATGCCCATCTCGAGGTGGTTTGCTTTTTTTTAGCGGCGCGCCAGAGTTGAGCTCTGAGCGTAGGCTGATCAGCCATTGAACTCGATGATACTTGTCGCCCACCTTGAGGACAGCTGTAAATACGTTGTTGGACGTGATTGGTCTTTTCCGCCGCCGCGTCTGCTCCCCGTCTGCTCACTGTCGAAGCGCCCCCCCTCTGACGGGCGGGAAGGGTGGACCGCTGAACCGACGGCCATTCGCGCCCGCGCAATTCAACATCTCGCTGCTCGTCGCAGGCTGATCCAGGAGGAGATCGACGAGATGACCGAGATCGCCGACCACCTGAACATGAAGCTGTCGGCGGCGGAGGCACAGCCAGGCCGCGCCAAGTCCTCGGTCTCCGTCGACCTGGACAACCTGTTCTCCTTCCTCAGCGACATGAACTCGGGACAGAGCAGCGTTGTCAACGAGATCCGCGAGAACCTGGAGGAGCTGGAGCAAACCGTGCTGGTGGAGGTCAGTAGACGGTCCGGTGGAGGTGGTAGAATAGGCCGGTGGAGGCGGTAGAACGGGTCGGTTGAGGTAGCAGGATGGGAAACAAGTCATCGAAGTTGTAGTTAAATTGGTCAAAGACAATCGAACTTCTTGGGGGAAGTCGGCGGAGTTAATGCGGGGCTGGCGTAGATCAGTCGAATTATCAGTGAGTTCGGTATAATCGGGTTGGCGATGGTCGATGAAATGGGAACTGAGATGCGCGTGTTATCAGAAAAGCCTGACTAAAATGATCTGGCCAAGGCAAGCAGAGCAATGTGCCATAAAGTTCATAATAACGGAGTGGTCAGAGCTCAGTATTCTCGTGTTGCTGCATGTTGCTGCGTGTTGCGTGGTGCGTCTGTCGAGCGACGATTTGGCCTGTATTGTTTAGTAGGACGCAGCGTTTGAGACGAGCAGAGGGAGGCGAAGAGCTGGGGGGTAGCCGTTTAAAGGGAAAATATGGTGATCGGCACGACCCGAGCCTAGTTTCAGCTGGCCTCAGCAAGGCTACACATAACACAGTGTTGATCGTTCCCGGGGCGTCTTCCGAGCGGCCGGTTGGTGTTCGGCTCGTGCCCATCCCTCAGAGCCCAGCTGTCACCCGGCCGCGGCGTCCGCCGGCCGTTAACCGCCGCCGCCCGCCGCCAGATGGACGAGCTCTCCGACCGGCGCGCCGCCGAGCCGCGCCGCTCGGCCGCCTCCACGCCCACGCTGCCGCACCCGTCGCTGCTCCCGGACGACGCGTCGGAGCCCCCGGCGCGCGCCGCCGAGCCGGCCGAGCCGTGCGCGCTGCCGCCGCCGCCGCCGGCGGCACCCGGCAGCGGCGCCGAGCTGGGCGACGTCATCCTGCCGCCGCCCGGGAGGAGCTGTACGGCAACCGGCCGGGCGGCGTGCCCACGCCCGCCGCCGGTCGAGCGTATCCCCAAGGAGCCCATCTACGAGAGCATCCTGGTCAACAACAAGAAGGCGCCGAGCGACCCGGAGCCGGCGCCGCCGGCCATCCCGTCGGTGCCACCGCCGGGGCCGCCGCCCGGTCTGCCGGCGCACGCCGGTCTGGAGAAGGTGCAGCGCGCCGCGCGCCACCGGCTGCGCAGCGGCTCGCCGGGCGGCCGCGCCCGCATCGCTAGCCAGGCGCAGAGTCCCAGCCGCAGTCGCAACGGCAGTAGGAACGGCAGCCGCCGCGCGTCGGTAAGTGGGGCTGTAGCGAGTGGCGGCGATGTTTCATTTTGTTTCGTTTCATGCTGAAACTGCAGGATTTCCGCCCGGATAAGCGTAATGGTAATTAATTTAGTGCCGATGGGCGCCGTGGTAAAATATCAAGGTGATTCTCATTTGCGTCTTTCTGACCATTGTGTGGGGGATCACATGTGCATGTCTTTGTCTGCTTTACCCCACACCTGCCGTCGGTCTACCGCCCGCACGGCTGTCCTCCTGGGCTTAGTGACGGTAACCCCGCTGACCTGTCCTCCTGGGCCCAGGGACGGTAATCCCGCTGACCCCCGCTGACCTGTCGCAGATATCTCAGGAGGAGGACGAGCGCGAGCAGCGGCGCCGACAGCGCGTTGAGCGCAAGCTGCAGGAGCTGCAGGAGCTCGAGCGGCTCGATGACGCTAAGCCCGAGCAGGAGGAGCACCACGACATGATCGAGTTTGCCGAGCGCTACTTCAACATGCACGAGCGCGTGCCAGAGGGTGAGGCCGCTCTTCGACCGGGCACCGCTCGATGACGGAAGCCACCGAGAGACCACGTGGCGAGGTTTCAATGGTATGACGGGAGCTGCCGAGAGATCACGCTGTGGAGTATCGGTGGTTTGACGTGATTTACCGAGGGACCATGCGGCGAGGTTTCAGCGATTAATCGCGTTTGGCCATCGATCCATTGCTGATGACATTTTTTTTGGCAAACGAACGGCAAACAAAGGATAAAACGAACATGTGAGCAACCGAACACGATAAAACGCGGGCGCGTATTTGTAACTCGCGTGGCGCTGAGTTTGTTCTACAGCTACGGCCTCCAGGTTTCGTGACGTTCGCGGAGAGCGCGTGACCATGCGAGCCAGCCAGGTGTATGCGACATCAGGGGGACTGGCCGGTGACGCCCCAGCTCCGGTGACCGCGTCCCCGTGCTGCCCATAGGCGCCATCATCTCGACCCTGAGCCGCCGCAGCCGCGCCGGCGGCTCTGTCGACTACCTGCCAAAGTATGAGATGATCACGTACACCAAGGCGCCGCACATACCCACCTCGCATGTGCACATGTACGACCCGGACGACGTGGACATTGCCTGCGCCATATTCAAGGTACGCGCCTCCACGTCACCGCGATGGGAGACTCCGGACTGAGGCTCCGGTGGCGTGCGGTAGTGGGCTTGATGGGAAGCGAGAAGCGCCCGCTGGTATTGGGTTGTGGTGGCAAGGAGCTGGCGGCTCTTGACAGTGCTGAGAGTCTGGAAGTTTCAGGTGATGTTTTCAGATGCCCTTCCGTGGAAGAGAAGGCGATGATATCGAGTTTTGGATGAACTCGCTTCAGATTCTTTGTGATCGTCAGACGCCCTATTTCGGGGTGCGCGTGACAATTGTGAAGGGCAGCCTCGACACGATCTTGCGAAAAAACCATGGCGGCTTGTGTTTGCGCCGCATGGTACTGATGCAGTTATACGTTTTGTGATGTCTCCAGGACCTGCAGCAATATCTCAAGGGCGATATGAAGCCGGAGACGGAGATTAAAACCATTCAGACAATCGTGCAGCACGGAATCGAGCGGGAGGAGCTCAGGAATGAGATCTACGTTCAGGTAATTTCTCTCCTACATTGTAGCATTTGTTTCCACTGTCCGTCATATGGCTTCTCGGTTGAAACATGTTGCAGGCGGCCCTCCGATGATGACTGTGGGCCTTTGAACCAGAAGGCAGTCCGTGTTGCACAGCGGATTGCGACAAAGTGATCCGAAAGTTGGCATCGTGGTGTGTTGATTGGTGCGCTGGTGAGGCGTCACGTCGGTTTTGCGCGAGTGTGCCGCAAGATCCTCGGACCAAGGTTAACCCCTGTTATTGATTTGAGGCCACCGAGCGAGACCAGTCGTAATAACAGGCTGTGTCACGTGTACCGCTGACCTGCTGTTGTAGGAAGCGCATATCTTCATGCATCGATTTCACTAGCCGTCGGTGTTTGCCTTCAAACACGCAGCTGGAGTGGCGGATTGGCTTGTAATGACTAACCGATGATATGGTCATTGTCTGTCGGCAGTGTATACGACAGATCACCAATAACCCCATACAGGAGTCGCTGGACCGGGTCTGGCTGCTCCTGTCGCTCTGCGTCGTCTCGTTTCCGCCGGGCAAAATACTCTTCAAGGTACGTGGCATTCCCCTGAAGTGCGTATTGCGCCGTGCACTGAAGTGCGCGCGCCCGGATGAAGTTCTACTCAAGTGCTGCATTGTCGGTCGCCGGCCTTAGGAGCGGCTGTTTGCTCGGGAACTTTCCAGACACGTCAGACCTACGTGCTCCGACTGATTGGCTTCCATAAGAACTTGGCGTCGCTGCTCGCACCGGCCTTTCGTGGGCTGCCACACTGATCATCCGCTCTCTCCGTGTCCAGTACTTCGTGTGCTTCCTGCGCAAGTCGCAGTACTCATCGGACAGCCGAGCGCTCCAGTACGTCCAGTGGTGCCTGGAGAACTGCAAGCACACGCACGTGACCTGCCGGAAAAACCCGCCCAGCACAGTGGAGGTTACGGTGAGCCCCGTCACTGGCTGTCGGATGTGCCGTGGTGTCTGGCGCTAACCCGCCCAGAGCAGTGGAGGTTACGGTGAGCCCCGTCACCGGCCGTCGGATGTGCCGTGGTGTCTGGCACTAACCCGCCCAGAGCAGTGGAGGTTACGGTGAGCCCCGTCACCGGCCGTCGGATGTGCCGTGGTGTCTGGCGCTAACCCGCCCAGAGCAGTGGAGGTTACGGTGATCCCGTCACCGGCCGCCAGATGTGCCGCGGTGTCTGGCGCTAACCCGCCCAGAGCAGTGGAGGTTACGGTGATCCCGTCACCGGCCGCCAGATGTGCCGCGGTGTCTGGCGCTAACCCGCCCAGAGCAGTGGAGGTTACGGTGATCCCGTCACCGGCCGTCGGATGTGCCGTGGTGTCTGGCGCTAACCCGCCCAGAGCAGTGAAGGTTACGGTGATCCCGTCACCGGCCGTCGGATGTGCCGTGGTGTCTGGCGTTAACCCGCCCAGAGCAGTGGAGGTTACGGTGATCCCGTCACCGGCCGTCGGATGTGCCGTGGTGTCTGGCGCTAACCCGCCCAGAGCAGTAGAGGTTACGGTGAGCCCGTTACCGGCCGCCAGATGTGCCGTGGTGTCTGGCGCTAACCCGCCCAGAGCAGTGGAGGTTACGGTGAGCCCCGTCACCGGCCGCCAGATGTGCCGTGGTGTCTGGCGCTAACCCGCCCAGAGCAGTGGAGGTTACGGTGAGCCCCGTCACCGGCCGCCAGATGTGCCGTGGTGTCTGGGATCTGGTGCTGACCCGCCCTGTCGAAGTGACAGGCTGCCGCGCCGTTACCCGTGGGCTCGTGCTCGTAACGTGCAGGCGACGCTGTAATAGATGTCGTTGGTTGTTCTGTCGTGGACGCCATGCCCGCCGATCGCCTCAGCGGTGCTGGGCGTTGCTGGGCTGTGGACGACTTAGCCGACGCTGACCTCAGCAGTGGTGGGTCCGGTGACAAGTGTACGGCTCGCTCCAGGCGATGAAGAGGCTGGGCACCATCGTGTGCCGCTTCTTCTTCCTGGACGGCATGACCAAGGCGGTGGACGTGCACCCGATGGACACGGCTGCCGACGCCATGACCAAGATCGCTGACAGGTGGGTGGCCGGGCCGGTGGTCCCGCCTTTGAGGCGAAGCGCCGGCTACACACATCGGGACGATTCTCGGGAATTTGAACGGTGTAAAGAGATTTGCTGGCTGCATGCGAAGCCGTTGCGTGAGTAAGGTCTGTTGTGCTTGATTCCGCGCAAAGGAGGCACTGTGCCGCACGGCGTAGAGTCTTGCTGTACCTTGCGCCAGTCGCCCCCCAACTCAGCGTTCTCACCCTAACTCCGCGCCCCGCCAACACCATACCCCCCTCTCCGCCCTCCGCTGCTGCCGTGACCAGCTGCCCCGTAACGTGCACCACTCCCTCTGGTGGCAGGATCGGCCTCTGGAACCTGGACGGCTGGGCGGTGTTCCAAGCGACGGCGGAGGGCGAGCATCATGTCAAGTCGCACGAGTACCTGTATGACGTCATCTCCTCGTGGGAGATGTGAGTCGGCGGCGTTGGATGCGCGCGCGAGACATCGGCTCTCTAGCCGTGTGCCTGTGAAACGCACAGATGGCACGTGGTGGATCAGATTAAGGCCATCCATCCATTTATTATGTGATAGACAATTAATTTTGTGTTGTTCTGGAATGGCCCCATATGATGAATTAGCGGAGTGAGTCGGTCCTCCAGCCTTTGCTTCATTGTGCCTTATCGCGCATTCGATTGCTGATCGTTACCTTCTTTCCAAATCCCTTCTGACGCTCAGCCGCGTCGTCTGCTGTGAACGCGCAGTGAACGACCTTAGCTTGACGAGATGTGTGCGGATGGCGCCTTTGTCTTCCCCCCGCGGTCATCCTGTGCCGCGGGCTCTCTTTAGTGTCTCCCACAGCTCCCTTGCCCTTTGACGCCCCCGCCCTCCGGCCAGTGGGAAGCAGCAGCGGGCCCTCTCCGTTCCCCCCTCGCCCTCTGACCCCCCGCCCTCCGGCCAGTGAGAAACAGCAGCGGACCCTCTCCTGCTCCCTCCCTCTGACGCCCCCCTCCCGCCCTCCGGCCAGTGAGAAGCAGCAGCGGACGCGGGCCGAGTCGCCCGCCAGCTCGCCCATGCTGCGCCGCCAGTCGGCCGTCGGCGTCGGTGCCGGCGAGAACCGTTTCCTGTTCAAGAAGCGGCTCTTCAAGTCCACCCGCGAGATCCCCAACGACCCGGTCGAGGTCCACATGCTCTACTCGCAGGCCGTGTACTCGGTGGTGCAGGTATGAACACGGTCCCAGCGCAAGGTGCTTCTTTTGTTCAATAGTCCATTTAAATGGTTGGATTTTCTTCGATCCATTTGCATAAGTCGAAGCCGTGAGATTGGAGAGGGTCCATGCTTGAGAAATACGGCAGTAGCCGCCCGACGTCGTGGTTCGGCCCACGTGTTTCTGTTTTCGGTAAGCAAGTCGTGTGTTTGTCTTGGTGGCGCTGGGTCCGCTGTGGCGAGAGGTCGACCTCTGCCTGTGCCGCAATCGTAGAGATATTTTGTGAATCATGGCGCTGATGCTAATTTTTGCCCGCGGCGTATTCATGAATCGATTGTGATTGGTTGTGCAGTGGCATGTTATGGTATCTACATTCTTGAATTCCTTCCCGGTTTCGAGCCTGTCTTATGATAGGCAACGATGATCTCTCAAACTGCGCTCTATCGTATCAGATCAGTCGCATCAATTCATCTTGCGCGGGGCAGTTATAATGCGCATAGCGCTTGTACAAGAGTGTTTGTAGTCGGTGCATGTTGGCGATCACTATGTTGGGTTTACCACCCCTGCGATACGCCGGTGTTGTTTGACCGTGCTGCCATCTCCCCGCCCGTTTGCAGAGTGACAGTTTGCCGGTGAGCGAGAAGGTGGCGCTGCAGCTGGCCGGTCTGCAGGCCCAGGTTCTGCTGGGTGACCCCAAGGACAAGTACGACCACTACTCGGACGTGGCCACCTTCCTGTCGCAGCGCGTAGCCTCCACCAAACGGCGCCCCGACTGGGTCAGTATCGCTGGACGACCAGCTCACCGTTCAACCAGTCGCGACGCAGCAGACCAGCTGCCACGATACATGTGCTGCTCGATACGCAAGCTGCTCCGTAACCGTTAGTTTTTTTTTTGCGGGAAGGGCTGCGGCCAACAGCTCAGGTCACTTAGCGTCCAAATGTCTCCCTCGATTGCTGCGGGGATGAGACGTCCATGGCTGACGGTGCTCCAACTGGGGTGTCTCTGTCCCGCAGGTGCCGATCATCGCGCATGCGCACCACCAGTACGGCTCGGGCAAGTCGGAGCTGGTGGCCAAGATCTGGTACCTGTCTTGCGTCATGCAGTACCCGGTGTGGGGTACCACTCAGTTCCCCGTGAAGTACAAAGGCTACTGGCCGTACGGTGGGTGACGCTCGCATGGGAAAAGACAGCGCCCATCAAATATGGCGCACTGTTTTCCTGAGTTATTTCTGGGATTGTTGCGGAATGTTTTTGCCGTCATGTTAAACGTCTGCGTTCTGACCTACAGTAACTGCTTCGTAGATTGGCAGTGCATCACTTTGACGCGGCGCACGACTGTGCTACAATCATGGTCAGTGAAGTCGTTCCATGCGAGCCGCCAAGTTTGTGAACGAGGGAACACCGGCAGCCCATCTCCCGCGCGTGTCAGTCAGATTCTGACACCTCCCCCCCCCCCCCCGTTGTCACCACTCACAGGCAACAACCTCAACATGGGCATCAACTGCGAGGGCATCCTGTTGATCCGGCCCGACGACAAGTACGTCATCGTCGAGTTCCCGTACGGCGACGTCGAGTCGATCCTGCTGGACCCCTCGGACGACTTCATCACCGTCAACCTGCACCGCAACCACGACGCGCAGCGGGTGTTCGTGTTCGAGGCGCGCTGGAAGGACGAGATGGGCGCGCTGATCGCCAGCTACTCGCCCGAGCACGCCACCTGGATCCGCGAGGTGGACAACATCAGCCGCCGGGTGAGCGTCAGCCGTCACAGCGCTCGGCAGGGCTCGGTGCTGCAGACGTCAGGGGCGGGGGGGGGGCAGACCTGGTCACGGTGCTCGGCAGGGCTCGGTGCTGCAGACGTCAGGGGCGGGGGGGGGGGCAGACCTGGTCACGGCGCTCGGCAGGGCTCGGTGCTGCAGACGTCAGGGGCGGGGGGGGGGGGGGGTCAGCCGTCACAGCGCTCGGTAGGGCTCGGTGCTGCAGACGTCAGGGGCGGGGGGGGGGGGGGTCGGCCGTCACAGCGCTCGGCAGGGCTCGGGTGCTGCAGACGTCAGGGGCGGGGGGGGGGGGTCGGCCGTCACAGCGCTCGGCAGGGCTCGGTGCTGCAGACGTCAGGGGCGGGGGGGGGGGGGGGGGGGTCAGCCGTCACAGCGCTCGGCAGGGCTCGGTGCTGCAGACGTCAGGGGCGGGGGGGGGGGGGTCAGCCGTCACAGCGCTCGGCAGGGCTCGGTGCTGCAGACGTCAGGGGCGGGGGGGGGGGGGTCAGCCGTCACAGCGCTCGGCAGGGCTCGGTGCTGCAGACGTCAGGGGCGGGGGGGGGGGGGGCAGACCTGGTCACGGTGCTCGGCAGGGCTCGGTGCTGCGTGACGTCAGGGGCGGGGGGGGGGGGGTCAGCCGTCACAGCGCTCGGTAGGGCTCGGTGCTGCAGACGTCAGGGGCGGGGGGGGGGGGTCAGCCGTCACAGCGCTCGGTAGGGCTCGGTGCTGCAGACGTCAGGGGCGGGGGGGGGGGGGGGGCAGACCTGGTCGCGGGGTTAGGCGGTCTGTTTCAGTCGTGAAACCTGTGATGTAAACAGGATAGCGATGTCGGACGGACGGTGATGGAGATAAAAACACTACGCGTGTTACGAGGTTCCTGCTGATTATGATCATATATATATATATATATATATATATATATATATATATATATATATATATATATATATATATAAATATATATAAACAACAATGATAATAATACGCAGCTTGAAACGCGCCTTTACTTTTCTATCTGCCAGCCACTGTCATTATGTGACGGGCGAACTGACTGCGCCGCAGATTCAGCACATCACAAACGACGACCGGATACGACTGCACTATAACGTGGTGCAGTGCCGGAGGAACCTGGTCGACGCTGACATGATGAGGAAACCCGTCGACTTGGCAACGTCCAATTTCTTCAAGAACACGCTGAGAAGGTGCGTCGTTGTCTTTCGCCCACTTTGCCGATATCGAATGGGGTGTCTGGAAGTTGTGCTCCTGTGGTCGCATCGCTGGTGTGGGGCAGTTAATGCTGCCTGGACGTGGGATGAGCCTCTCATGACCCGCTGTGATTTCGAAAGTTGTGATGGCCAAATGGTCAGCATCTTCGGCTCCCACGTGTGGGTGTAGGTTCGAATCCCGGTTACACCAGAGTCCCTGAGCGCTAACATAGCCCTGCAGTCGCTGCCCCCCCCCCCCCCCTCCCCCTCCCCTCCCAAGAGGGAAGTGGTGAGCCAGCGGCGCTCATCGCGTTCCCTGCTTACAAATAATGTGTGGTTGCGAAGTGTACGTCTTTCACATATTTGACCTTTCAAGTGCCTCGTAAGACGTTGAGAGTAAGTCAGTGAGCAATGTCGGCCACTTTTGCGCGACATCCACATTTGCCTCGGGACCGGGCTCATTAAGTCAACAGTTTTACATGTATCTCAACGTCTTTTCCCCCCGGCACCTTACCCGCGCCCTCCTGCCGCCCGACGGCACCTTACCCGCGCCCTCCCGCCGCCCGACGGCACCTTACCCGCGCCCTCCTGCCGCCCGACGGCACCTTACCCGCGCCCTCCTGCCGCTCGACGGCACCTTACCCGCGCCCTCCTGCCGCCCGACGGCACCTTACCCGCGCCCTCCTGCCTCCCGACGGCACCTTACCCGCGCCCTCCTGCCGCCCGACGGCACCTTACCCGCGCCCTCCTGCCGCCCGACGGCACCTTACCCGCGCCCTCCCGCCGCCCGACGGCACCTTACCCGCGCCCTCCTGCCGCCCGACGGCACCTTACCCGCGCCCTCCTGCCGCTCGACGGCACCTTACCCGCGCCCTCCTGCCGCCCGACGGCACCTTACCCGCGCCCTCCTGCCGCTCGACGGCACCTTACCCGCGCCCTCCTGCCGCTCGACGGCACCTTACCTGCGCCCTCCTGCCGCCCGACGGCACCTTACCCGCGCCCTCCTGCCGCTCGACGCTGCAGGTTCAACAAGGCCAAGCTGGAGAAGCTGCGCCAGACCGCGCCGAGCGGCGGCAGCGGCGACGGCACCGACGCCTACAAGGGCTTCGACCGCGTCTTCTGGGGCTTCAGCCGGCAGCCGATCTCGCAGGGCTTGAGCCGCATCGCCGAGCCCGAGGTGGAGGAGACGGCCGTGCAGATCTTCCAGGCCGTGCTCATGTTCTCCGGCCTCGTGCACAGCGGTGAGCGGCGGCGCGCGGCCCGGCCGGCGCTAGCGGTCCGAGCGGCCCCAGCGGTCCGAGCGGCCCCAGCGGCCCTAGCGGTCCGGGCGGTCCGGGCGGTCCGAGCGGCCCGGGCGACCCCAGCGGTCTGTGACCCACGACTGACCCAGACGATGCCCGGTTGTGTGGAGGCTCGCGGGTTGTGCGGGGACGCGTTTGTTGGGATATGCGATGTGCCCGCTTCTTAACGCCGTTTTTGTCGGTGTTGCGACTAGTGATGCTAACGCAAGTGTTGCTTCAGGTGGTGGTAGAATAGCCGGCAGTACTTGCTGAAGGTGTATACTTGGCAAGCAGTGGTCACAACCAGGCTCCATATCCCTTCATGACGGGACATGACATGCGTAATAGCCGTCAAAACAGCGTCTCCTTTTTGTTCTCTTGGTTTTGTAAGAACTCCGATGCATGATGCCTCCAAACTTTTAGATGAAAATGAATAGCCCTGTTTTTAGCAGTCTGAGCCATCCTCATCGAGCGCACTTCGTTGTCTGCCCCCGGCCCGGAGGGCACAGCTGATGCCTTTCTTTCTCTCGTGACGTCACAGACCAGCTGTCAGACAACTCAAGCGACGAGAACAACGTGCGCCTGGTGCAGGGCATCGTGGACCGGGCCATGAAGAACGAGACGTTGCTGAACGAGCTGGCGCTGCAGCTCATCAAGCAGACCACGGGTCAGTGCCCGGACAGCGTCAGTTGGCCGCCAGGCTGCCACTGACAGCAGTTGGCATATCATCAGCGTCAGGCTCGTAGCTGGAGGCGACGCGTGGAAGCCTTTGCCCGGGCGGGATTCAGATGAGCATGAGCTGCAAGGCTAACGGGATGTCATACCTGAGTCAACGATTGGATGCGCGCGAATGAAGCGTTTGACTGCCCTCAAGAGCTGCCCCCGTAGTGCACGGGATACTCGCTGGGCACTGATAAATCACTTGAAAAAGCGGATCTATGACAGGCAGACAAAGGTCACACTTGACTATCGCGTGTAAAGATTCGTTGTGTTGTTCATGGCGTTGATATATAGGTGTATGCCACACCGGCGCTGCCACCGCGACACCTCGCCTCCCCGTCGCGGCTGAGCCTGACCCCCCCCCCCCCCCCCGGGCAGATCACCCGGACCCCAACTCGCGCGTCAACCGGCGTCACTGGTCGCTGATGGCGCTGCTCTGCTCGACGGTGGTACCATCTAATTTGGCCACCAAGAAGTATTTGGCTGCTCACCTGACCAAATGCGCCAGCGACTACGTCACCGAGGAGGGCAAGTACGCCCGCTTCGCAGAGAAGGTCAGTGCCTCACGCGGGGGACAGCGTGGTGCAGTGGCATGAGGGTGTAAAAGGATTTGTTGTTATTTGGTATGTTAGTTTGAATACGTTGTGCGACACGCTGAGTCTTCCTCATCCAAAAGTGCGTACAAAAAGCTGAAAGTCCCTTTCAACGACGCTGATTGTGCAAGACAACCGTTGTGCTTGTCTTGCTTCGATAGCAGCCGTATAAAGCATTGAAGTCGTCTCCCTCGACCGCGTGTACCGCGCTTGCGGTTATTGAATTTACAAAAAAACTTTTGTCTGCCTGATTTGTCTCCCCCGGACCCCAGACATTGTCTGTACAAGACACTGATCTGTCGCCGGAATACTGTGTACCAGACGCCGAACTGTCCGCCCGGCAGTGTCTGTACTAGGCGCTGAACTAGTCTCTTCCTCCGACAGTGTCTATATCAGGCACGGAACCGCGTGATACAGACTGAATAACTGAGCCGAATCATTCGAACCTCCGGTGTGGTGTGTGGTAAACGGTGAACCTGCCGCTGGTTCTCAGTGTGCGTACAGGACAGAGCTCTGACCTTATCTCCGCCCGGCAGTGTCCGCACAGGACTCTGGACTTGTCTCTGTCCGGCAGCGTCCGTACAGAACTCCGACCTTGTCTTCGTCCAACAGTGTCTGTACAGGATTCTCACCTTGTCTCCGTCCCACAGTGTCTGTATAGGACTCTGACCTTGTCTCCGTCCCACAGTGTCTGTACAGGATTCTCACCTTGTCTCCGTCCCACAGTGTCTGTATAGGACTCTGACCTTGTCTCCGTCCCACAGTGTCCGTATAGGACTCTGACCTTGTCTTCGTCCAACAGTGTCTGTACAAGACGGTCAACTCCCGGCGTCGCCAATGGGCGCCGTCGCGCCAGGAAGTGCTCTGCACTGTCAACTGCCGACCCATTCACGCGCGCTTCCACTTCATGGACGGCCAGTTCCACAGCGTGGAATTCGAGGCGGCGGCCACGGCCGGCGAGGTTCTTCAGCTGGTCAAGGAGAAGATCGGCCTCAAGGCCGACTCGAAAGGTGAGTCCGTCACTGGTTGGCGAGGCCGGCTGAGGACGGCCGTGGCCTCCACGGTTTGGGCCACTGCCTTGCGTGACGTTACTTGGCATGCCAGTAGATGTTCACCGGCTGCCAACGTTTGGACCACGCTTGCTAAGACCAGTACACGGATGGACCAGTAGTGTGCCCGCTACTGTTCCTGCCTCTTGGGCTGCATCAGTTCGACCACAAGTGCTCCCTCGTGTGAGCGTGGCCATTAGCTGGTTATTGGACACTGCCACAGTCCGCCTCCTGGCCAGGATGTCCGGTGCCAGCGGGACGGGTCGGTGACCTCAGACAGGAATGTCGCCTGCCGTGCCTTGATCTGTATGTCGACATGCGGATGCATTTTATTAGAAACATCTGAAACCCCCGTTGTTTTATTTGCCAATTTTTGCGAATAAGTAACGATGATAATACCTTTTCATAAAGTGCGGAGAATTTTCCTATGTTTGTTAAAATTATAAAGGCACGATGTGCTTCCATCGGAACTGGTGCCTTCTATAGATGAATGTAGCGGAAGTTAGCCCACATTCAGCCCACATTCAGCCCAGCCCAAATTATAGATGAAAGCTTTTTCATATGAACTAATTTTATTCGTTCCGCAGCTGTCTTGAAAGTCACGTATTCTCATCATTTATTGCTAATGTAACAGTGGTATGGAACAAAAAAGAGGGCATGACACGAATCCTGTCGCCAGAAACCGTCCCGTAACTTCGCAGCTCCCCGCTGCAGCCTGTACCGAACGCAGTATCAACTTAGTTGCCGCAAGCCGTCGTCAGCCGCCGACACCCGTTGACGCCGGACCTGGAAGTGGTTTGGAGTTTAAGGGCGCGTCGGCGTCGAGGCCATTTTGCGCTCACTGTCGCCGGGCCTGGCGCGTGGCGAGGAGCGGAGTCCCGACACACCGTTTGTGTTCTCCTGCACGGCCGCGCGCTGCTGCTCAGCGTCGCGAGATGTGTTGAGCGCGGACGTTTTACGGGCCTGCTGTAAATCGCCGGCGTCCGGCGGCGGCGCCGCGGCTCGAATCAAAATGCAGCTGTGCTGATGCCAGAGAGGCTTTGTGGATTGTAAAAACGGGACGCCTGCTGGTGTTTCGTCTGTGAGATAGAGCGCAGCAGCAAAGCGTCTCGAAACGCGTTCTCGCTGAAAAGCATTTACATCGTGCGTGACCAAACTAAAAACGCGAGCTCCAAAGCCCCCTCCTCTGGACGTTTGTCTCGACACGGGGCCGGGGCTAGCTATGCTGTTATGAGTTGTAGGGTCTTGATAGGTATTACATATCGTGACCCTGTGGCTCCCCCGTCTCCCCCCCCCCCCCTTCCCCTTCCGTGGTCTGATAGAATATTTAATCCCCCGATATCCGCGTCTAATTGCCTGTGCCGTTTTCTCGTTTTGGGGAGAGGGCATCACTCAGCGTCTTCCCGTGACTGGACATCTCAGCCAGGCGATACGTTTGTCATTTGCCATTGGCTAAGGGCCGGCCATTGGCGAGGTGCTGTGAGCGCGCAGCCTAGCTGGGCTTGACATTGCTCAGCTTGATTTGCTAATAACTGATCAGCGCTAACCATTGTGCTCATTGCGATGGTGCCGTCTCGTCCCAGCGGGCATTGAGCTCATCGCGGACACTGAAAACGGTCTGTCAGATTGGTATTTCCCGAAGTCAGATTACCGCACGGGGACCGTCTCACGTTTCGGGCCATCGGCCATCGACGCGGAGTGATCCCCAGACTGCGCGAATCGTACATCCGGGAATATGAATCACCATTGCCTGTATCTGAAGAGCATAAATGGTTCAGGATGTAGGAAAGCAGGGGGTTTAGCCTGTCCAGAACGCTCGTCCTGCACGAGCGTTCGATGTAAGATGTCATCGTCCGAAGTACAAGGGGATTCGCACACTGGAAGGCGACCTCGTTTTGCAGCTCGGGTCGCGCTCTACGCTGCGGCGCTGTAACGAGGATCAGCCGCGCGTGTGCGTCGCAGACAAATGGCATCCATCGTTTGTTAGAGCCAGTCTGAACGCGTCACCATTGCCCAGTCACCCCTCTGGCTGTTTACGTCATCAACTCTGCAAGTTCGCTGCAATTGGCCGTCCCTGATGACTCGCGTGATAAAGTCTGGGCGGCCCGACGATGCGCGCGCACTGCTCCCTGCGCAGTTGATGACGACATAAGGACCGAGTGGCCGCGCTTGCCCGGGCGGGGGCCCTGAAGTGCGTGCTGTGTCTGTGTGAGGGTGAGAGGGAGAAGTGGACAATATCTGCAATGTCCAGTCTATGTTGTGATTAAGGGTTTTAATGCAGTGTTGCTCTGTAAGAATAGGAATGCAAGTTAACCCCAATAACACCCGAGATCACTGGTGACATCCGGCTAGCACGTGCTCTTTAACGTGCTAGCCCAAAACCCTGGACACTGGCGTAGGATATTCATATCCGATGAGATAGGCGTAATAAGAAGTGGCCCAGACTATCAAAAGTCTAAAATGTCATGTGATGTGGCAGGTCGTCAGCAAGTTGTGGGTCAGTCTTGTCGTAGAGCCGTACTTGAGTGGAACGAAATAGCATTCCTCTGAAGTCCTGTAGAAAGTGGCAGGATTAGTCCGCCATGCAACAAGCTCAGCCTGACGCAGTGGCGGCATGCTATGTGCATACGGGTGTTGTGCATACTTGTGGGCATGGCCATCTTGGGCTGCACTGAATCGACGACGCCGTGCGCTTTTTCCCGCAGGGTACGCTATTTACGAGGTGCTGGGTCAGAGCGAGCGTAACCTCCTGCCGGACGAGACTCTGGCGGACGTCATGTCCAAGTGGGAAAGGTGAGTCCGCCCCCCCCCCCCCCAGACCTCGAGCTCAGCTGTGGTTTGCGTGCCTGATGTGCCATGACCTGACAGCTGCTGTTTGCTGATGAATGTAGTTCCTGTTTCGGCACGTTTTGCTCAGCGTCGGTGAGATACTGCTTGCGGCAGAATTCGGGATTTTAAAGTTATGCAAATATATGTATATATATATATATATATATATATATATATATATATATACATGTATATATATGTATATGTATATACATATATGGATATATATATACACACATATATATATATATATATATATATATATATATATATATATATATATATATATATATATATATATATATATATATATATATGTGTGTGTGTGTGTGTGTGTGTAAAGGTAATTCTTTGCAAGTTCAGAGATGGGTTCACTGGTAAGCTACCCTATACTGGTGAATTGTCAGTGCCTTTACCCGTCTTTCATGAAGTAAAGTAAACTAAAGAACTGAAAGTCGGTGCTTTCAAGCTCGGTTGTTAGTCCTCTGTCCGGAGCGACTTTGGGCTGCAGCCGGTAGCTCCTGGTCTGAGGCTTCCGTGTCCTGTTGTCATCTCCTCTCGTGTTACGGTCACCACCGGCCTACCGGCCCGCGCCGCCGCCCCCCCCCCCCCTTCCGCTGGCCCGTCGCCCCGCTGGCCCGCTGCCCCGCCGCCCTGCTGGCCTGAGGCGGTCACGAGCAGGCGCCGCCGGTCGGAGAGGCGTTCAGAGCTGGCTGTGGAGGACCCTCTGGGCGGTGACAAGCGGGCGCCGGCGGTGGGGGACGGAGAGGCGTTCAGAGCTGGCGATCGGGGAGGGAGGGGCGTTCAGAGCTGGCGAGGGGAGGAAGGGGTATTCAGAGCTGGCGATGGGGGAGGGAAAGGCATTTAGAGCTGGCGATGGGGGGGAGAGGCGTTCAGAGCTGGCGATGGGGAGGGAGAGGCGTTCAGAGCCGACGATAGGGGAGGGAGAGGCATTCAGAGCTGGCCATGGGGAGGGAGAGGCTTTCGGAGCTGGCGATGGGGAGGGAGAGGCGTTCAGAGCCAGCGATGGGGAGGGAGAGGCGTTCCGGGCTGGTGATGGGAGAGGGAGAGGCGTTCCAAGCTGGCGATGGGGGACGAAGAGGCGTTCAGAGCTGGCGATGGGGGACGGAGATGCATTCAGAGCTGGCGATAGGGGGGGGGGGGGGAGGCGTTTAGAGTTGGCGGCGTGAGACGGAGAGGCATTCAGAGTCGGCGATGTGACGGATAGGCGCTCAGAGCTAGCTGTGGAGGACGCTCTGGGCGGTGGCCAGCGGGTGCCGGCGGTGGGGACGGAGAGGCGCTTTGCACAGCTCAACAAGCACTGCTTAGTGTGAGCTCTGATCCCAAAAATACATCCATTCAAAAAGTTAGGATACAATTGTTGAAGACCATGTGCTCGGCGGGAAAAGCTGTGGAGGTGCGCACGTTTTACAGCCAAAATGGCAGCCTTTTGCGCTGTAGTGCAGGTTTTCTGGTCGAACGCTGGTCCGTAAGGGTGCTGATGTGACGTGAGCGTGTACACGCTCGTGTGCACGCGTATCAGTGCTGTTATGAACCGGAGCGTGTACACGCTCGTGTGTACGCGTGAGAGCGCCGCTGTGGACCGGAGCGTGCGCGGGGCGCCGGCGTGGGATGCTCGCCCCTGATAGAAGCGGGCTGCATTGATCGGAGGGCGCAAACAATCGATTCAGTTTATCTGTTCCTGAGTCGAACGCCCGTTATTTGGCCGACCAATCGAAGCCCTCTCATAAGACCTATTTTGAGCCGGTGAGGCCGGGGCTCCAAACAGCGGCGCCGATGGTGTTTCGGAACATTGAACTCCGCCTGTATTACGCTGGCTTGAGCAAAGGTGCTGGCCATGTGGCGGGCTTCCCCGCAGGCCGGCCAGCTGGCGTCTGGGTGGTCTCTTGAGGAGATCGGCACGATCGACGAGCCGCGGCGGGTTTCGAGAGCTCGGCTGCGCGACATAATCTTAACAGCGTCACACTGCGTCACAGCGTCAAACTGCCGACGCGGTGACGAGTGCCAGCAATCACAAGTGCCACGCGATAGGACTCAATTAATGTTGCAATATAACTGGAACTGAACCAGGTGTAAAAAGTGGAAGTGAGTGGGGTTGGTTAAGCAACAATGGTTTACCCTCGCAGCCCTACCAATGCACCAGCTTCATCATCAAACTCGTGTTTTTTGCTAGGTCGGCGGACAAGCAACAGATTTTCACTCAGATTCTTCCAGAAGCTTTTCCAATACACCCGCTATCAATGACGAACACCTCCACCGCCCCCCCCCCCCTCCCCCCGCTTGCCATATCAGGTGACCCCCAACCTCCGCCCTCCCCGCTTGCCCTGTCGGATGACCGCTGACCCCAGCCCCCTTCCCGCTGACCGCTGACCGCCCCCCCCCCCGTTGACCGCTGACCTCCGTCCCGCTCTCAGTGGCCGGTCGTGACCCAGGGTCCCTGCCCCAGGTACCAGACAGCCACGGCCGGCACGGACAAGGCGCGCAAGCAGCACATCTTCCTCTTCAAGAAGCACCTGCTGTGTGACGAGACGCTCGACCTGGACGACCGGGTGGAAAAGGAGCTGCTCTACCACCAGATGCTGCACAACGTGCGCAACGACAAGTTCCCTCTCACCACGATGGAGGCGGTGAGTGTCGCTCGTCTGCCGGCGAGACCCGGAGTGTCGCTCGTCGGCCGGCGAGACCCGGAGTGTCGCTCGTCTGCCGGCGAGACCCGGAGTGTCGCCCGTGTGCTGGCGAGACCCGAAGTGTCGCTCGTCTGCCAGTGAATGTCGGAGTGCAGCTGGTCCGTCGGGCGGCTGGTGGTGGCTGGTCGCGGTGAGCAACTGCGCTGGTTGCTGTTTGCTGAATTGCCGGGATGTTACGAGACTGGCTTCAAAATCACGTCACTTTAAATAGCGAGCCACGCGAGCTCGTACTTGTTCGCTGAATCCACAGCCTTAGGCGTTGGGTTGCGCGAGGGTCTTTGGTCTTTTTTCCTTTCACCTTGAGCCAACACTAAGAATATCCTTGTTTGTCTTTCGTCTGCGAGGCGTCATTCAGCTAAAAGGCTTGCGTCAGCAGAACAGCCGTGTCAGGCTAAATGCGTGGGCCGTCTCGCCATTTTCAAATGCGGCGAGTTCGCGGTAGCACCGTCTGAAAGGCGCAGCAGCGCGTAAGGTTGAGGGTCAAAACGCAGCAGCGTTTGAAGGCGTAACGTTTCGGCCTAGTGCAGCGCACAGAAGCGGCGTTGTATGGTTGGTCGGTTCGGAATTTGTCGGGGTTGAAATGTACCTTTTGCAATTCCTTTGCGTCCGTTTAGATACACGGGTTTTCGGGGGAGGGGGAGAGGGAATGCATAACAGTGGACGAGGAATCGGTTGCATCAGCATGAATGGATTCACCAGATTCATATACACGTGCGCAGATACGTGAAATGAGCAGGTTCCACACGCTAAATTTAAACGGGCGGCAGTGTGGAGACGGTTGCGGTTGCAGTGGAAGCACGGAACTAGATTTGTCCCCTTTTTCGAAAAACAATAAGAGTCTCGATGTGCTCCATCCTTTTCACGTAAGCAGAGCTTATCTTGGTTTCAGTAAAAAGCACTTTGTTGCAAGGTATTCATTCGTATGCTTTTCTAGGGTTTTCAACTCACCTGCATACCCAAAAAGTTTTTTTTCAGATGACTCTAACCATCGCTTTCTTTAGCAGGATAATGCGCTGATGGCACTTCTGATGGCTGATGGCAAATCTGGGATATCCTACCTTTCGTTGTTTTCCGTCCTATGTTTACGTTAAACCTTTTTTGGGTTATTGCGTTCTCCGGACACTGGCCACTTCATGGCTTCTTCTCCATCCATACCCATAAGCAATGGGGCAATGCCATAGCTGTAGGAATGTCTTACATATCACCCCAAACAGTGTTTTTGCACAACTTTCAAAGCTCACGCTCGGTGGTGCGCCAGTTGTAGTGACTACTAACTTCTAGCGTTTAACTCAAGGGATCTAGAAACAGAAACGTTAAAAAGGAGTTCACCGCCATTTTGGACACCTTGCGTTGCCATAGATTTAAACTTAATTTGCATGAGGAGTGAAAGCGGCCTTGGAGTCATTGGTCCCTTTGACCCCCAACCGTGGTTCTACACTTTAGCCTGAGCCTTACCTGTGCCAACGACCCGTGTTGCTGTGTTCCGATATGCAATCGCACAGAAAAGAAACAGCCGTTCGCCAAAGGTTCGCTCGGATGCCTAACGCATCTATGAAGTCATGACTGGAATGCTGGAGCGTAGCACAACGGTTGTGCACCCATTCAGGGCATTGGCCTGTTGGAATTATTGTGAAACGGTGTTGCTCACCAAGAGATGAGAACACCGTCTGTGAATTTTGGCCGAAAAACTACACGATTTGAGCTAGAGCCGTATCTCTTGTAAAGTCCTGGATGAGAAATGCGTGAGGGCCGCGTGCTCCACCGACGCACCACCCCTAGGCTATCAGAAACATGCCGGGCATTCGAATCGCTGTTTTTGTACGTTCAATCGTCATGCAGTCAGGCATGCTCTTACGCGGAAAAGGCAGCAAGAGGCGGTGGTTCGCCGACTCTTTGGCACTCCTAAGAACACCGGTTATTGAGCTGTTTATATAGTCTGCGTTTTTATGCGCACGGCTGTCGCCAGCTGCCCTGGATGTAAGCGGCAATGCCGCATTGACGCTCCTTTTCGCGAGAGAGGTTCATTCAGTGCAAATTTGTGTTCGGTTGGTTGAATTCGATAAGCGTCCTTCTTTTGTTCACGTAGTCTGTGAGTTTCTTCTCAGTGTTTTGCTGATAAAGACAGCGTATGCGACGTCAGCATTGTCGCGCCACTGTAATATATTTTCAAATTTGGCTTATCTCACCGTGACTGATCAGGATACTGAGCCAGAGCGGCCTGTCTGCGGGGTCGAACCGCCCGTCCGCTTCAAGGTTAAGCCACCCGTCCCCTACGCTACGCCTCGGGGTCAAACCGCCCGTCCGCTACGCTACGCCTCGGGCTCAAACCGCCCGTCCGCTACGCTACGCCTCGGGCTCAAACCGCCCGTCCGCTACGCTACGCTGCGGGGTCTGCTACAGGGTCGGAGCGCCGTTCGCTACGCTACGAACCGTCCGGCATCGATCTGAACCCCTCCATCCGACTGTGCGCCGCGCGTGCTAGCCGTGGGCGGGTAGTGTGTATGGCGCAGTGTTACCAAGGGTCCGTGTTCTGTTCCAATTTGGCCTTTAGTTCGTGGCCTCCACGTAGCTGGGTTTGGCCGCAACGGCACTAGTGGCCTGCTTTATTCCAATGCATTGATAAGTTTGCTCTGCTACAGCGCAAATCATTGGATTAATTGACAACCGCGGATAAAGCATTTGCGCTCTGTCGGATAGCCAATCAAGCAAAACACACGCTCTTTATGTTTCGTGAGCTTTCTTGTGTGTTTGGTTGGTTTCATGAATATGTCATAGAATGATGTTGATGGCAGCAGCGTCAGTGGAGTCGGTGTTGACACTGCCTTCTCGACCTTCTTGCTGTTAGTGATACTCTATGTAATTGGGTACCAGTTTAAAGACGGATCCGTGCGTAGGTGATCTAGCTTCCTCAGAACTGCAGTTTTCCGCCGGGAAAGGTTTGTTATGTTGCCAAATACGCCGCATGTGTGCAGTTTCGTATTATTGCTCGTGGGGCCGGCACTCCGTCAGCTATCGCCAGCTGTTACTTTTACCTGCCTACCGTACTTGCCGTGCTGTGACGCCACATGTGTCCGTTCTCCACACGGTGTTACCAGGTGTCGTGATATGTGGCTGTGCCGGCCGAAATAGAGACGGCGGATCACCACAAACCTCCGCCGTGACGTCAATCTGACGTCATCGGTGCCCCGGCAGGTGATGCTGACCGCGCTGCGGGCGCAGATAGAGCTGGGCGACTACAATCTGGCCGCGATCGATTATCAGCAGGTGATGGCGTACACACTGCCCCCGCGCGTGGCGTCCGTCGCCTCGGTGCACACCGTAACCGTGCACCACCAGAGCCTGGAGGGCATGTCGTCCGACCAGGCCAAGCAGGCCTTTCTCAACCTCATCCAGTCGTGGCCCTTCTATCGCGCCAGCATCTTCGAGGTCGTGGTGAGCATGGAGATCGTTGGGCGGAAGGGGAGGGAGGGGTCGCTGCCGTGATCAGCAGGGCTGCCTCTGTTTAGCCTTGTTGGCCGCAAGGAAGCAGCGGGCGTCTATAGATTCTCCTAATTGGTAGTGTTTGAAGCGCTGTAGTCTTAGCGTCAAATTCCGTCGGGTCACGAGGGCAAGACGATCCAGGCGCCATTGGCGGCTGTTCTCAAATCTGCGATATCACAGCCGCCACCCGGACACTGCGTTGAGGCGGCGCGTCTTGCTGACTTGATCATCAGCATCGCAGTCATTGGGTTTCGCCACGACGTTGTGCGTCACAGAAGGCCTCAAGAAAACAATTACACTATGGGTCGGCCTAGTTGGTTAATAGGCTTTATTACACTTTGAGTGCGTGTCTGGAGTCTGTTACGCTGCACTTAACGTTAGATGGGCATCACCCGCCAGCTGTCGAATTTTCCCCATCGTCAACGCTACGTAACCAATGCCGTTGACCAAGGCCAATACCAGGCGATTGTGGCAATGTCAGCCGGTCGTTACAGCACTGTCTGCGCGAAGTAAACCTTTTCGCATTTCGTCATGACAGGTGATGCCCTGACTACCCGGCGCATTGTCCCGGGCTGGGCCACTCACCGTCCTCCGTCCATCTTGTTAACATCAGTCCCTGCGTGTGCGCGGCAGCAATCCTTCACGTCCAACTGGCCCAAGATGCTCTGGCTGGCCGTGGACGAGCATGGTGTGCACCTGCTGGACTTCCGCAGCCGCAACGTGCTCTGCACGTACGAGTACGACTACATCGTCAACTACAGCCCGGCCATCAACTCACTGATGATCATCACCGGCAGCACGCGCAAGCAGAGCAAGATCATCCTCAACACGGGGCAGGTGAGGCGCTGCTTGCTGGTGGGGCAGGATCGACGGCTGGCCGCACGTGCTGGGGTGGAGGCCAGGTAGGGGTCTTCAGCAGGCAGAGAAGTATGTGGCTGAATATGACGGGTTTCTTGGAAAAGGGCTGTGGAATTGTGGAAAATGGGAGGAGGAATGTGTTTGGGTTTGTTTCTTTCGGTGCTACGGTTTTTTTTTGACAGTGCGGATGCTTGAGGATGACAGGCACCAAGCTCGAGGAATGTCTTTGGTATCCGTTGTTCATGTCATCTTTTCTGCACTTTAAACCACGTGAACGGCAGAAGTTGACCTGGTTGGATTAGGGGGATTCCTCACTTAACGTCCTGTAATCAGCCCCTCTTTGACGCAATATGCAAGCAAAGCTGTCATTTCTTGGCAGTATCATTGTTCACGTTTTAAATTGCATCAGTCATGGCTTGCAATCATCTCGTTCATGTCAGACTGGCTTCAGTCAGTCAGAATGGCTTCCTTTGCCCAGTTCCGACCCACGCGTCTGCCGGTCGCGTTCAGCCCTTCCCCGTCCTCTCCCGCCGCCGACCCGCCGACGTCACGGCCGCTGACCCTTAGACTCGCCGACGTCACGGCTGCTGACGCTCCGACCTGCCGAGGTCACGGCCGCTGACCCTTAGACACGCCGAGGTCACGGCCGCTGATCCTTAGACTCGCCGAGGTCACGGTTGCTGACGCTCCGACCTGCCGGGGTCACGGCCGCTGACCCTTAGACACGCCGAGGTCACGGCCGCTGACCCTTCGATCCGCCGAGATCACGGACGTTGACCCTTAGACTCGCCGAGGTCACGGCTGCTGACGCTCCGACCTGCAGAGGTCACGGCCGTTGACCCCTAGACACGCCGAGGTCACGGCTGCTGACCCTTCGATCCGCCGAGATCACGGACGCTGACCCTCCGACCTGCCTCGGCAGGCGTTCATGATCGCCAACCTGGTGAAGGACTACACGCAGCTGATCAAGGAGCGGCTGCAGCCTGAGTGTCGGGAGCAGGCGTCACTGCGGGCGGGCGCGGGCGCCGCCGCTCGGCCCATGAGCATCCTGCAGCGGCCGGCGCCGCCGGTCGGCGACGGCGCACTCAGATAGACCCGTCCGGCGCCGGCACCGCGGTCAGGGGTGGCTCGGCCGCGGGCGGTGCCGCGCCCCGGCCGCGCGAGCACGGCGGGCTCGAGGGACGGGGCGACCGGTGTAGGGGTGGTGGCCCGCTCCTCAGCTGGGTGGAACGACCCTGGGTAGAGGCACTTTGGACGAGAGCACGGCCGCACGCTCAGCGTGGAGGCCGCGAGTCGCCGCCGCCAGCAGCGAAACAAATCTATGATAATATCACCTAGTCATTATGAATGCTAGATGGGAGATTCCATGGCGTTGCCAGATGAGATTGGCTTGTATGGCGCCGATGTGCCCGTCAGTGTGACCTGGTGGGGCGCGCTGCGGCGTCGGCGCTCCTGTGACTGTGTGCTGCTTGCATTTCATCTTTGACCTGTGTTTGCGACTTCGCTCGCACTGTCCGGGAGTCGTTTGGTGACCAATGCTTCTGCAGTGGTCCACTGTTGCTCAGTACTCAGTGTTTGTATTTATAGGACAGCTTGTGTGCTCTTGTTGTCTGGCAACGACGGATCTCGTGGATGGGTTTCGCTCAGCGAAGAAAATGTCGGTCTTCCTTGCGTAAACGAATGGCTTGTTTTCTTTTATTCAGCAAATGAGGTTGTAGAAGACGGCGTACTCATTAGCACAACTGGATGGTACTTGACTGGTTTTCACGTACTGCAGATCGCTGATGAAGTTTGCGTTGGCCTGGTTCGCATCAGTTGTGCGGAGGGCATTATATATAACTTGTGCTTTCGGACATTTTATTTTTTGGAAATAACTGGCGAAGCACCATCCGTGCATGGGCTGGATTCCTCATGTAGAAGCTGAAGAAATTACAATGAATGACGTAACCGGTACACGAGCTCAAGAAATCACAACAGGAACCGTTTTATTATGTTTAACAGTCATCTTTCTTTGCATTCCCGTACTGTCTTGGGACCAATGACGCTCGTTTGATACTTGCCGAATTTTACTAGTGATGTCTTGTTTTTAATACAGGAAAGCCAACATTCAGTAGTTAAATTTATGTTGATAGGGAAGGTTGTTTACCCTCGTTTTTCTGCCTTGATTTTCGCACATCGCGAACACCATTTCGTTGTCCACTTGTGTGCGCCCGATGTCTGATCTGTGCCGCGAAGACACTGTTGCTCGGCTTTGGGTTAACCGAAAAGTGAGAATATGGTCGCCTTCAGCCATAAAGCTTCAGCCATAAACCGTAAGTGACCAGCCCCAACCGTGGACGCCTATTGACGGACCCGGCTTTGGCAGCCACTCCTGTGACTGCGCGACCTTTGCTGTCCAAGCATCTGACCTGCTTATAAATTTTGGATTTGGGTATTGTCGATGCGCATTATGATTTCTATTGATTGTACCGCAGCTGGGTACGGAAAGCGTTTTTTGGTGTTTTGTTTTTCTCAATAGTTTGACATATTTAGCTCGATTGGCCTATCTAAAAAGTGCGGCTTATTATAGACCATCTGAATGTGCGTTGCAGGCCCCGCACAAACGGGCTACTTAAGGGACAAAAACAGTAAATATCTGGGACTGAAAACTTTGCGTTGTCAGTCACTAGCTGGTCACTATAGTTGATAATGGCGTCATCTTTTCAACTTAACTGATGCTAAGAATAATTCGATTTAAAAGTTGTCGCTTCGAACAGTAATTCGCCATCCTGCTCGGATTTCTGCCGCCAATCACGTACGGATCGCAGATCCTGGCGCCTGGTCTTCCGCAGTTGGGAGGCTGTTTTTAACGCTTTGCCGAACTTTTCGAGACTGTGCACCCGTGTGTTCGCGGCAAACCTCCACCGCGGTCACCGATGGGATGATGTGCTAAGGGGCCGCCCCGCCGTGTGCTCGCTATTCGTGACTGCCAACTGCAGAATATTCAAGCGGGAGAGATCTGCACCGTGTCTCTTCGAACCGCGCGAGGTTCGATGAGCTGTGCTGGGGTTAGCGTGGGAAGAGCGTTGCCAGGGTCAGCCGTGGTGACCGGGCTACTGAGACAGGTATCCGACTGCCACAATTTCCTAGTGAACTATGCGTGCTCTGTCTACGTCGGTAGATGTAGACTTCCATGGTTGTGCTTGCTTTGCAAAATGGCGTCAATATTCTCTGTTTATACCCTTGTGCTATGCGTGTATATTTGATGAACATATAAGATAAATACAATCTTATTATTTGACGCGAGTTATTTGGATTACGTCGAAAGTCAGTATGTATCATAAGTGTGTGGTTTCGTTGCCTCAAATGTTGGCGTTATTCCTGTCAGGCTCGGTCCGCATCGCCACCTCATCACCGAAAAGCACCAGATTTTCGAAAAGTCTATCGGGAATCGCTTATTCGACACTGGCCGCACAGTTGTTGGCAAAATGACTTGCGCTATGTGAACAGATATGGTACAACAGCAGTTAGATTAGTATCAATTATACATTGGTATCAACAGCATGCGTACGTGTGCTAACATTTTCGAGGTTTTTAGTGCCCTGCGCATTATCTTTCTCATCCCGAAAAACCGGGAACTTGTAACAAGGGCTTTAACAATGTTAAAGCGTCTCAACAAGGCCTTCCTTGTGACTACGGACGTCACCCGTTTTCGGCGAAGGACAGATAAACGTTAGTTCATTCTGCTACGATTCCTCGCTCGCGATGGTGCGGGAGAAATGTGTGCGAGGGAGCAGGATCATCAGCCTGTCAGCGTAAAGTCAGGATGGCTGGATCGTAGGGTTCGATCTCAGCGGGTGTAGTGTTTCCGGCTACCGCTGCGCCTCATACCAGAGGTACCACAGCAACATCAGCATCCGGCGCACCCCAAGGTTGGATCCTTCGCTGCGGATGCCGGCGATCGGAGGTTTTCCACTGATTGGGCCCTTGGCTGCAGACGCCGGCGATCGGAGGTTCTCCACTGATTGGGTCCTTGGCTGCGGACGCCGGCGATCGGAGGTTCTCCACCGACTGGGTCCTTGGCTGCGGACGCCGGCGATCGGAGGTTCTCCACCGATTGGGTCCTTGGCTGCGGACGCCGGCGATCGGAGGTTCTCCACCGATTGGGTCCTTGGCTGCGGACGCCGGCGATCGGAGGTTCTCCACCGATTGGGCCTTGGCTGCGGACGCCGGCGATCGGAGGTTCTCCGCCGATTGGGTCCTTGGCTGCGGACGCCGGCGATCGGAGGTTCTCCACTGATTGGGTCCTTGGCTGCGGACGCCGGCGATCGGAGGTTCTCCACCGATTGGGTCCTTGGCTGCGGACGCCGGCGATCGGAGGTTCTCCACCGATTGGGTCCTTGGCTGCGGACGCCGGCGATCGGAGGTTTTCCACTGATTGGGTCCTTGGCTGCGGACGCCGGCGATCGGAGGTTCTCCACTGATTGGGTCCTTGGCTGCGGACGCCGGCGATCGGAGGTTCTCCACCGATTGGGTCCCTGGCTGCGGATGCCGGCGATCGGAGGTTCTCCACCGATTGGGCCTTTGGCTGCGGACGCCGGCGATCGGAGGTTCTCCGCCGATTGGGTCTTTTGCTGCGAACGCCGGCGATCGGAGGTTCTCCACCGATTGGCATACACGGTGCTCAAGATTTGGGGCCGACTGGACCCCGCCTGTGTTAAGCAGTAAGGTTCAATTTTTGCGTAGTAGCTCGTTTTAAGTTGTAAAGAACCCTGAACAGCTTTAACGTTGATATGTGCTCACTACTCCACTTTAGGGGGAGGGCTGGAGCAGTACAACAAAATGGCGACGTACGGACCAGTGGCAGTGGATCAGCAGACGGAGAGCTTTGGAACAAAATGATGTGCTTGATTCAAAACGGACAAAATAATGTTAACTGCTTTCCTGAGGGCAAGGTATGGCAACTACGCTGATCATGTGACTATGATTCTCACCCAGGGCATGAAGCTTCCTCTGACAGGGAGGAGAACACTGGCACGACAAGCCACACGCATCATGTCGCTGTCGTTCCAGTGGTGGCATGATGCTTATCTTGGGTGGGCGAAGTCACCCCGGTTCAGACCATTTAGCGGATAAAGCTACTCGGCCAACAAGCTGTCACTCAGCAAACGCATTGATTCAAACGACGTTAATGGAGATTTTATGCGAGCAAAGTTACGCATAAATTTCATTCGTTTAAGTGGAAGGTAATGAGAAATTACTCTTTCAGCATGTGCTCACGAAGCATAGCTTTAGCCGCGAAAGCAACTTTCCGGTAATTCTCTATTGGCTTTCATGCGCAAGAAGCCGAGTTGAAGCACCTTCATCACTAATGACTGAAATATCCCGTCACCAGACTCTCTGCAGATCACCAGTATTCTGTCGCCTATACTAACAATCCTGGCTGATGGGCATGTTGCGGCATACGTATGGCGCCTTGCCCGGCAAGAGGATACTTTTCATTTTTAGCCCTTTTGCACCTATTTTCCCTCCTCCAGGCACTAAAATATAATAAACTTCTCAAGGATTCATCGCCGGCGATATGCTGAATAAGCATTCCACTCAAAAGCACGATGAGCGGCAGTGGGCTGTCACGTGGCCCCTCTGACGAGGCCAGCGCAGCTTTCCTTCGGAGCACCGAGATCTTACAGTGACTATATCACCACCTAAAAACGCTCAAACTTCAGCGCCCACGAACTCTCTTTCAGTACTCACGAGCCCTTGGCGCTACTCGAGGGCCTCGGACGCTGCTGGACGCTACGCTGATCTCGATTCAGTGGCACGGTCTCTCTGGCAGGCGTTTAGTACAGCCCACGTGCTGATCAATCAATGGGATCCCCGATCCCGCCGATCGCTGGCTGGCCCGCCCCGCTGTCCAGCGACCTAGCGGTGGTCTCGCGTCGGCAGACGGCGCCACGGGCGGCGCCCGGACCCGCTCAGTCGGCCAGTCGGCGCCGAGCCACGCCGACCCGACGGCCGCCCGACCGTCTCAGGTAACGCCGCCGTGACCTGTCTCTGACCCTGCCGTGGCCTGTCACTCTGATGTGTTCAAGGGAGCCCTGCAGTGGTCTTTCACTGGCCTTTCTACGGTGACACCGTGATGGTGACCGTGACGCATCGTTGTGGTCTGTTTATGGTTGCTCTGCCGTGGTCCAAGTCACTGCTGTCTGTTCACGGCAACCCTGGCGTGACCTGTCACCTTGAGGTCATAACAACCCTGGCGTGACCTGTCACCTTGAGCTCATGACAACCCTGGCGTGACCCTGTCACCTTGAGCTCATGACAACCCTGGCGTGACCTGTCACCTTGAGCTCATGACAACCCTGGCGTGACCTGTCACCTTGAGCTCATGACAACCATGACGTGACCTGCCACCTTGAGCTCATGACAACCATGACGTGACCTGTCACCTTGAGCTCATGACATGGTGTGACCTGTCATCTTGAGCTCATGACAACCATGACGTGACCTGTCACCTTGAGCTCATGACATGGTGTGACCTGTCATTTTGACCTCATGAAAACCCTGGCGTGACCTGTCACCTTGAGCTCATGACAACCCTGGCGTGACATACCACTGTGGCCCTTACACGGTAACCACGACTTGATTTGTCGCTGCAGTCTGTCCACGGCCACCCTGTCGGGCCGTGAAAGCGTATTCGGATTCAAATACACCGACTATGTCGCCAAAAATGTGCTCAGGGATAGTTCTCGCCGAGCTCATCATCAATGTGGGGTTCTTTGCTACAGTGGTTGTCCTTCAAGGTCAAATTCAAGATCAAATGACAGGGAACGTCACCCCGCCCAAAATTGCCAATGACATGGAGCAAAACTGAACTTAAATGGTAAAACGTGTCAAACGTGAGGGCGGTTAGCGTCTTCGTGCTTATGAACATTGAAATGCAAGGTCAACCCAAGGTCACACAGCGAGGGACGTTGTGACGTCCAAACTTACCGACGCAAGAAAGTGAAATTAGTATAAAAATAACCAACATCCAACTCCAGAGACGAGTGAGGTTTGCTTACATACGGACATCGAACCTCAAGGTCAAATTCAGGCTCAAACGACAGCGAACACCACAACGCCAAAACTCACTGGTGTTTGGGGACAAACCCACCATTACCAAATAGGTCGCGTCAAGCTCAAAAGTGATGACAGTTTTCGTCGTGATGGCAGTTGACCCTCAGCGTCTGATTCAGGGTCAAAGAACAGATCAGTGAACAAAATATCAGGTATGCGTAGAACTAAAAACTTTCCTTACATTCGTCTGGATCAAAACAGCATTTAAGTGCATTGATTAGCGCTATTTTCGCCAGGGCTGCTCACACTGTAACAACTGATCTGCATGGCTGCACTTGAGGTTTTCTATTTTGATTTGTTAAATTACTGTGAAGTTTATCATTATTATCTTGGATTCGACCTTGACGGCTGACCGCTATAACGTTGAAAGCTTTGATCACCCGAGCACTCGACACGGGCTACCTGGTGAGAACGATGTTGACCTAAATCATTTACAGAAGATCACACACCCACTTGCCACGTCTGTCATATTCCAGGTCACATTTAGCGCGTGTGCCGCAAAACTACAGCACAGCTACGCAAACGAAACCAAGGCACAGGTAAAATTGACCGTTCGGGAACCTAGTAGGACCTCCATCTAGTCGAGCAGGTGAAATTTATGATATGTATGATTTTATGAGATATATGATATTATGATTTATGAAATTTATGATATGATATTATGACATCAACAAGAAGTGTCCATTTACAAACGTTTGCGTAAGTAAAAAGATGTTGTGCTCTTTTGGACAGTGTAGTTCAGTTTTGGCTGGAAAAAACTCTGAATTTACGTGACGGTGCTTCAGTAAAAGAAGCGAGTCAACAAAACGTAATATTGATATTTCCTCCGGGCCGTAGACTGAAAGGCACAAGAAGAGTGATCATTCGCACCACGCTTGGCAAAATTCAAATGTATCTTTCAGCCTATGCAGCCACGGGACTATGCCACGACATAATCTTAGGTGTTGACTCTCTTTATGAAAGACAATTTCTTCTAGACATGATAACCATTTACTGAAATTAGGTAAGCTGTTGTTCCTGCAAAAACAAACGCAAAACTGTCGATACGAGGAACAACACCTAATGCAGCTATCAGAAAACATTCACCTGACCCCTAGATTATCGGCCCAAATTAAATGCCAACTGTCAAAAATTAAGTTTGCTGGAAATCAATTCATTTCAACACAAATGACGTCATCCCAT